CCGAATCTGAAGTCAATCGGGTCAAATCTCTGGGAGGAGTTCGTTAAAGTATGACGCCTTGAAATGGTCAAAAAACGTCATAAAATTCAAAATGGCCGACTTCCTGTTTTGTGCAATGAAAAACTCCAAGAGGATTTTTTTGTGCGTCTCATCACGTTCCACATACCTACCAAATTTCATACAGCTAGGTGAAACCCAATGTTGGGGCTACTCAATAGGGGGCGCTATCGAGCCAATATTTCATACCGCAGTTGGACACCCCAATCAGACTGAAATTTTCGCAAATTCTGGCTTGCGTGCCAAATTTCGACATTTTCCCAGTATCCCAAGCACCTCCTTTTTGCGACGAAACACTAAGAATAATAATAATAATAATAATAATAATAATAATAATAATTAAAGCTGCGAGCAGCGATGAACGGGCCCTCGTAATCTGCAGCGCGTCGGGGGTGCCGGCGGGACTCCGGCCTGCACGTCCGAGAATGTCCGCGACCGTGCGTCCGTGAGCGAGACGTTTTTAATCCCGCGTGGACCGCCTGATGCTGGAAATGATCCGACACTTCCTGTATCCGCTGCCTGGCGCTACAGAACACGTGCAAACATGCATCATGTAGCTCTGTGTCAAATGTAAACCACATTGTGTAAAAGTCATGTAAATCGGAGGTGTTTATCACAAAATGCAGATTTCCTTTGGCCAGCATGTGGCACTGTGAGTATTAGGGAAAATTAGCTTGTAGACATCCTCAGGCCATTAGTGTTATCAAGCATGTGAAGTTTGAGACTGTTTGGAACAAGTCCAGCTGAGTTACATCGGCTTTTTTCATGGGGAATCACATAAAGTAGCCGCCCGCTACGGCTAAGCCATTCCGTCAAACGTAAAGCTTTTGATAACTTTTAATCACAACGGTGTTGTCATTGTATTGACAAAATTTAAAGTGGATCTGATGAAGTCCTAGGAGGAATTCGTTAAAGTATAGCAACTAGAAATAGGCCAAAATTTGTGGAAAAATGACACAGAAATCAAAATGTGCGACTTCCGGTAGGGTTTGGAGCATGGTCCCAAGAGACTTACATTTAAGTCTCCATAGGATACATGTGCCTACCAACTTTCATATATGTAGCTGAAACGTAGCACTGGGGCTGCCCTTTTGAAACATTGTAGGGGGCGCTATAGAGGCAATTTAAAACAGCCAAGCCCAAAACCCATATACACTATGTCTGCCTATGACCTATGACACATGTACAAAGTTCCATGAGTTTTTGATCATCCCAACCCACTAAATCATCAGCTTCCTTTTTCATGGCGAACCATGCGTCGTTCAACACAAACTCACAATATTCATGATGATGCATCATCAATGTCTTAAGGCTATCTGTACCAAATTTGAGACTCATCAGATCACCTGGCTAGGAGGAATAAAGACAAGTCAAAAATATCACATTTCCTTTAGCCAGTAGGCGGCGCTATGAGTTATTGAACTTTTTTCAATTGAAATATGTTCAAGCTTGAAGTAGCATCATGCATGAGCAGTTTTGTGCGGATTGGATAATGTACCTTGGAGTTATAACAACTTATAAGAACTTATTTTTTCATAAACAATGAGGCAAAATGGCCGCCACGCCACGTCAAGGTTCTTCCATGAAAACTCTCGATTTTGATAACTTTTAATCACAAAGGTCTTAAGAGCATCCTGACCAAAGTAGAAGTTGATTGCATAAATTCTCTAGGAGTTCGTTAAAATACGAAGGCTGAAATCTGCAAAAAGTGACAAAAAGCACAACTTTGCAGGTTTACTGTAGCGCCCCCTAGTGGTTGAATGCAAAACAATTCTCAGGGTATGTTACAGGATGCAATGTGCACATATGCTGCAAATTTGGTAATTTTAAGACAAACGGTTGAGAAGTTATGTGTATTGATATTAAGCCACGCCTCTAAGAAGTTTATTGGTCCATATCTTATACACGCTAAGAGCTATCAAAAAGCTTTTGATAACTTTTGATGATCTAGAACCAATAATGATGCACCGATGATTTGGTAGCAATCGGACCCAGTATGTAGGAGGAGCTTGCAAAAATGTGTTTTTCACTAAATTCAATATAGCGGAAAATCTATGGAGGCGGAGCTTAGGGGTCTGAGAGGCTTTTTTGTAGATTTAGCGGAGTCGGACATGTGTGTCGAATTTCAAGTAAATCGGACATACTGGCCGAGGGGGGTCGCCGGTCCGACTTGTAGGGGGCGCTAGAGAGCCATTTTTTTACACAGAAAAATACATCCATTTTCAGATGGCTATTTTCACCAGACCTGACAAGCCTCCAAAATTTGGTGAGTTTTCATGCATGGTAAGTACCCCCAAAAGACTCCTAAAGTGTAAAAATAAAAATAACGAAAAATACCCCTTACAATTTCAATAGGGCCTTCGCTGGCCCGACGTTGTCGGTTGCTCGGGCCCTAATTAAAGCTGCGAGCAGCGATGAACGGGCCCTCGCAATCTGCAGCGTGTCTGGGGTGGTGGCGGGACTCTGGCCTGCGCGTCCGCGAGTGAGACGGATTTAATCCCGCGTCGACCACCTGATGCTGGAAATGATGCTTTGCAAATAGTCCGATGCTTCCTGTATCCTCTGCCTGGCACTACAGAATGTGTGCAAACATGCATCATGTGTCAAATGTAAACCACATTGTGTAAAAGTCATATAAATCGGAGGTGTTTATCACAAAATCCAGATTTCCTTTCGCCAGCAGGTGGCGCTGTGAGTATTAGGGGAGATTAGCTTGTAGACATCCTCAGGCCATGAGTGTTATCAAGCAAGTGAAGTTTGAGACTGTTTGGAACAAGTCCAGCTGAGTTACATCAGCTTTTTTCATGGGGAATCACGTAAAGTAGCCGCCCGCTACAGCTAAACGATTCCGTCAAACGTAAAGCTTTTGATAACTTTTAATCATAACGGTCTTGACATGGTACTGACAAAATTTAAAGTGGATCTGATGAAGTCCCTAGGAGGAGTTCGTTAAAGTATAGTGACTAGAAATAGGCCAAAATTTATTGAAAAATGACACATAAATGAAACTGGACGACTTCCGGTAGGGTTTTGAGCATGGTCCCAAGAGACTTACATTTAAGTCTCCATAGGATACATGTGGCTATCAAGTTTCATACATGTAGCTCAAACGTAGCGCTGGGGCTGCTCTTTTGAAATCTTGTAGGGGGTGCTATAGAGGCAATTTAAAACGGACAAGCCAAAATCCCATATACACTATGTCTTCCTATGACCACACATGTACAAAGTTCCATGAGTTTTTGAGCATCTTAACCCACTAAACCATCAGCTTACTTTTTCATAGCGAACGATGCGTCGCCACGGCAACAGCATTCAACGAAAACTCACAATATTCATGATGATGCATCATCAATGTCTTAAGGCTATCTGTACCAAATTTGAGACTCATCAGATCACCTGGCTAGGAGGAATAAAGACAAGTCAAAAATATGACATTTCCTTTAGCCAGTAGGCGGCGCTATGAGTTATTGAACTTTTTTCAATTGAAATATGTTCAAGCTTGAAGTAGCATTATGCATAAGCAGTTTTGTGCAGATTGGATAATGTACTTTGGAGTTATAACAACTTATAAGAACTTATTTTTTCAAAAACAATGAGGCAAAATGGCCACCACGCCATGTCAAGGTTCTTCCATGAAAACTCTCGATTTTGATAACTTTTAATCACAAAGGTCTTAAGAGCATCCTGACCAAAGTAGAAGTTGATTGCATAAATTCTCTAGGAGTTCGTTAAAATACGAAGGCTGAAATCTGCAAAAAGTGACAAAAAGCACAACTTTGCGGGTTTACTGTAGCGCCCCCCTAGTGGTTGAATGCAAAACAATTCTCAGGGTATGTTACAGGATGCAATGTGCACATATGCTGCAAATTTGGTAATTTTAGGACAAACGGTTGAGAAGTTATGTGTATTGATATTAAGCCACGCCCCTAAGAAGTTTATTGGTCCATATCTTGTAAACGCTAAGACCTATCATAAAGCTTTTGATACATTTTGAATTGTTTTGATCCACTGATGATCCAGCGAAGATTTGGTAGCAATCGGACCCAGCATGTAGGAGGGGATTGCAAAAATGTGTTTTTCACTAAATTCAATATGGCGGAAAATCTAAGTAGGCGGAGCTTAGGGGTCTGAGAGGCTTTTTTGTATATCTAGCGGAGTCGGACATGTGTGTCGAATTTTAAGTAAATCGGACATACTGGCCGAGGGGCGTCGCCGGTCCGATTTGTAGGGGGCGCTAGAGAGCCATTTTTTTACACAGTAAGATGCATCCTTTTTCAGATGAAAATTTTCACCAGGCCTGACAAGTCCCCAACATTTGGCAAGTTTTTGGGTATGGCAAGTACCCCAAAAAGGCATTAGTTCACCAAAAATAAAAATCATAATAATAAGAATACCCCTTACAGTTTCAATAGGGCCTTCGCAGGCCCGACGTTGTCGGTTGCTCGGGCCCTAATAATAATAAACCTTACAATTGCAATAGGGCCTTCGCTGGCCCGACTTTGTCGGTGGCTCGGGCCCTAATAAGAAACATGACAGTTTCAATAGGGCCTCGCTGGCCCGACGTTGTCGGTTGCTCGGGCCCTAATAAACAATCGAAAAACAATAGGTCCTCCGCTCCGACTAGTCGGTGCTCGGGCCCTAATAATAACAAATGTTATATATTCAGCACTACCAAGTGCTTTACGTACCAACGAGCCTTCGCAAATGAACGCTAACTGACAAGAATACAGTAACGTTAGCTCCTAGAGTAACGCAATAAAGAGAGAACCCTCTCATGTCATGTCGTCCCTTTACATCACATTACCAGTGAACTGGGCAGTCAAATAAGCAAATATTAGCGGTGCTCTATCAACCTTACATTGACTGAGTACCTAAGGCTAACTAACTAAGCTAACGTGTGCAGTGTTCCTGCAGCCTTACAGTAACTGACGTCAGCTGCTCACCTGCTTTACTGTTCCTCAGCCGCTCACATCTGCTGCTTGAGACCGGAGCTGCTACTGTTTCTGCCGCAGCGGAGCACATCCTCCTCACTACACGCAGCGAAGCCATTTCCACTGGTTTTATTCACTAGTACGGTAACCTTCACTCCGGACAAACATGCTGGATGTCAACAAGACGACTCACATGCAGTCAAAATGGCGCCCCACACGTGAATCGTTCTTAATCTTCCGACAGGAAGCCCTACTACGCAAAGGTTCCGCTTGCTGTCACTTAAACCGATATTATTTTTTTGTCATTAGTAACAATATTATGAAAATATGTAATGTCTATTTTGAACAGCCATAACGATGTGTTGCATAACTTTGCATTACACCGTATGCTATATTTACAAAATCAACAAACCTTTTAAAAAGAAGATGGTTCACGTGACAGCTTTGTTTACGGATGACGTGTACAGGATGCTAACCTAGCAGACTAACCATGGAGCAGACCGCCTCACAGCACTGCCGCTAGTTAAGAAAGACAGGCGTTAGCAGTGTATGACTACTTTCTGTCAATTGATTAACCTACGTGTACTGTTAGGTACGTTTATGTCTTCAAACAAATGAGAAATATGAGTGCGAGTGTGAACGTATTCTAACGTTAGCTGTCACAGCTGCTATCATCAGAGACATCCTGCTGCGGTCAGCTCGTTAAACTGTTAGAGGACGAATGTATGGCACAATTCTAACTGTCTCGATGACTTTTGACATTACTGAAAAGAACTGTATCCGTAAAGTATCTTGGTATATGAGCTTGCTGCTTGAACAGATTCTTGATCTTTAAAGAGATCTAGAACCCTAGTAGAATGTATCTGACCTAAGTGTTCATCTCCTTCTAGGTCTCACATGAGATTGCTGTCCGATCACTGAAGCCATGGCTAGTCCTAATGATCTACAGTTCCAAGGTAAAGCCTGTCATTTCAATGTGCGTACAGCTGCTGTGCTTGTTTTCTCTTCGTCTGGCATTCCCTCCTCACATCCATGTCTCATGTCTCCTCTCTCAAGCTTAACTCTGGCTTTCAAAATGCATATATTCTTTTTTTCAAGCAAATTGGAAATAATCTAAATATATTCATATCAAAATAAAGTTTGTACCAAATGCACAAGGATTGTGGACGATGTCACATGGGACTGAATGGAGATGACGTTGATAGATAATGTGTTTAACTACAAGCTGTCTCTGGATGATGCCTGTGATGAATAACTTGAGTTAGCAGAGTAACAATAACATGGATGTGTTTTCCTGACAGAGGAAGGCAGCATTGTTAATAAAGAAATATTGTGTTATGTATCGACCTGCTTCATCTGAAGCGAGTGTGATTAAAGAACTGCAATCTGCTTTTACTGTTGTTCAGAGGAATCTATGTGAACTGAGACTTGAAATGATTCTGACGGTAGACAGCTGAAAGGTGTGTATCAGATTGTAACTTAAAATACTTACATATATATATATATATATATACACACAATTGTGTGAAAGTGTTTGCCCCCTTCCTGATTTCTTATTTTTTTGCATGTTTGTCACACTTAAATGTTTCAGATCATCAAACAAATTTAAATATTAGACAAAGATAACACAAGTAAACACAAAATGCAGTTTTTAAATGAAGGTTTTTACTATTAAGGGGGGGGGGGGAAATCCAAACCTACATGGCCCTGTGTGAAAAAGTGATTGCCCCCCCCTGTTAAAACATAAATTAACTGTGGTTTATCACATCTTTGGAAAGCTGAGTTCAATTTCTCTAGCCACATCCAGGCCTGATTACTGCCACACCTGTTCTCAATCAAGAAATCACTTAAATAGGACCTGCCTGACAAAGTGAGGTAGACCAAAAGATCCTCAAAAGCTAGACATCATGCTGCGATGCAAAGAAATTCAGGAACAAATGAGAAACGAAGTAATTGAGATCTATCAGTCTGGAAAAGGTTACAAAGCCATTTCTAAAGCTTTGGGACTCCAGCGAACCACAGTGAGAGCCATTATCCACAAATGGCGAAAACATGGAACAGTGGTGAACCTTCCCAGGAGTGGCCGGCCGACCAAAATTACCCCAAGAGCGCAGCGACGACTCATCCAAGAGGTCACAAAAGACCCCAGAACAACATCCAAAGAACTACAGGCCTCACTTGTCTCAATTAAGGTCAGTGTTCATGACTCCACCATAAGAAAGAGACTGGGCAAAAATGGCCTGCATGGCAGAGTTCCAAGACGAAAACCACTGCTGAGCAAAAAGAACATAAAGGCTCGTCTCAGTTTTGCCAGAAAACATCTTGATAGTCCCCAAGACTTTTGGGAAAATACTCTGTGGACTGACGAGACCTTTTTGGAAGGTGTATGTCCCATTACATCTGGTGTAAAAGTAACACGGCATTTCAGAAAAGGAACATCATACCAACAGTAAAATATGGTGGTGGTAGTGTGATGGTCTGGGGCTGTTTTGCTGCTTCAGGACCTGGAAGACTTGCTGTGGTAAATGGAACCATGAATTCTGCTGTCTACCAAAAAATCCTGAAGGAGAATGTCCGGCCATCTGTTCGTGACCTCAAGCTGAAGCGCACTTGGGTTCTGCAGCAGGACAATGATCCAAAACACACCAGCAAGTCCACCTCTGAATGGCTTAAGAAAAACAAAATGAAGACTTTGGAGTGGCCTAGTCAAAGTCCCGACCTGAATCCGATTGAGATGCTGTGGCATGACCTTAAAAAGGCGGTTCATGCTCGAAAACCCTCCAATGTGGCTGAATTACAACAATTCTGCAAAGATGAGTGGGCCAAAATTCCTCTACAGCGCTGTAAAAGACTCATTTCCAGTTATCGCAAACGCTTGATTGCAGTTGTTGCTGCTAAGGGTGGCCCAACCAGTTATTGGGTTTAGGGGGCAATCACTTTTTCACACAGGGCCATGTAGGTTTGGATTTTTTTCCCCCTTAATAATAAAAACCTTCATTTAAAAACTGTATTTTGTGTTTACTTGTGTTATCTTTGTCTAATATTTAAATTTGTTTGATGATCTGAAACATTTAAGTGTGACAAACATGCAAAAAAATCAGGACGGGGGAAAACACTTTTTCACACAACTGTATGCCATTTTTTTAAGACAATTGTCTTTTAATCATCATATCAAGTGTCTTATGAAGAAACTGTGAAGTTTGGTTTCTATTCTATTCTGTTTTTCTTCTGCTGCAAGGAAACAAATAGTTCAAGAAACACTTATCAGCAATGGATTATGGTGATATTTTATATGCATGCAAGTTCATATTAATATTGGAAATGTTAGATTCAGTAAATCATGCTCTGGAACTGGTTTATCCTCTCTTCTGTATGAGGCCATATTGCATGAAATGCCTCTATATCTGTGTTCTCTACTGACTCCCAGAACCTTCTGGAGGTGCAACCTTTAATCATGTGGACAGCTTATGTACATCGTTCCTCAGATCTGCATCGTTTTTGGTGAAAGTGCTTTTAAGGTGTTTGCACTCTCATCTTGGTGTGACCTACAGAGACACTTCAACTACATTATTTTATAAGCATGCAATACTTTTAAAACAGGATGAAGGACTATTTGAACACTAACTGAACAACACTGCCAACTTGTTGACGTAACATGTTTGTAGTAAGTCTGTAAGGCTTATGTATGTATGTTCTATTTATCTGATGAGTTGGGTGCTGAGGATCCTTTTGAATACAAGAAATTACCAAATTTACCTGATCCTGTGTTCACAACAGCTCTTCTGCTGACTGCTTATGTTTGAGATGATATTTTCTGACAACACGACCTATCAATGCAGTGCTTGTTTTAGGAACCTTGGAGACAGTCCCATCACTGCACAAAGATCATGTGACTTTGACAGAAAGAATAAAGGCGACTCACTGGGATGGATCACCTCAAACAATCCCACCGTAATGTTTTAATCAGTTTGTCTGTTAATTAGTAACCTAATAGAAAACAAGTGAAAAAGGTTTAGTGAACGACCAACAATGAGCATGAATAGCAACATCTGTATGGTGCAGAGGGAGAGAGCCAGACTAAGGTGAACGGACTTGGCGGTACAGGTCCCTGGAGTAGAACAGTTTGTGTGTACGACCTGGGCCTGCTCTAGTATTAACTCCCAGTGTTTCTTGATGCATGTCTGTAGAGTTTGAGGAGGCAGCAGAGCTGTTGTCTGCAGACCCGGGGGCCTCCACACTCAGTACGTCTGCCTCAAACACCATCACTACAGCAGCAGCGGGAGGAGGAGGAGGAGAGGATGTGAAGCTAGACCTCTCAGAGGACGAGGAGGGTCAGGAGGAGAGTTCAGAGGTGCGTGTGTTGACTTGTGTCACCATGACACAGGTTCTCAAAGAGTCTTGATGTTTTGAGTGGACAGCAGCTGACAGATGTGTGTGTGCTTCCAGCTGTTAGGAGGACAGAAACCAGCTGGTGGCTTCTGGACCTTTGACTACTATCAGTCTTTCTTCAATGTGGACACAGAGCAGGTATGAACCCCATCCTCTCTACAACTACACTGTTCATATGAACAATTCATACATGTGATTTTCTTTTAATGATAAACCAATCTCAGAGGAAGACATTTACATATTTGATCATGACGATTACTTCTGCTTGACACCCCATCATTTGATGCAGGTACTGGACAGAGTTAAGGGCTCAGTGATGCCATTACCTGGAAGAAACTTTATCAAACACCACCTTAGGAGTAGCCCAGATCTATATGGTAAGCCAGCGGTGACGTGTTCAATGTATTATATTGTACTTTCCCTTTTATTATTCCTAATGTTCTCTGGATTTAAAGGCCGTACGTTGTAGATGGGTTTATAGTTGTGTGTTAAGGGGTTGTGACGTATGCAGTTAAACTGTAGGCTGCAGCTGCTGAGATACCAGGTGTAGACTAGAAGTATGCGTGGTCAGCATGGGCTGCTTGTCATTTCTCTTCCAAGTTTCTGAAGCCAATGGAGGTTGTTGAGAGTAAAAGCATAAAGGACATTGAAGAAAGTCATTGTCTTCTTTTTTCAGAAACACACAACTACGGGAACATTAAGTCTCTTAACTGCATCCCCGTTTCATTACATTACAGTCATTTAGCAGACGCTTTTATCCAAAGCGACTTACAATTCAGATTCTATCACATTTCTATACCGTAGGCACAACTACGGGAGCAATTTTTGGGGTTAAGTGTCTTGCTCAAGGACACATCGACACTTTTTCCCTCACTTGCATCCTTTCTGCAAGGAAACCATGTGAGGAGAGAGGAAACAAGGAAATATGTTTTAAGAGACATGAGACGTTCTTTCCTCAGTTGCGTCACGTGAAGCGACGTCTGTTTCTGATGACGGTGCTGATGATCACAGCTGGATCAGCTGTCAGTCAGCTTTAACAGCTGGAGAGACTTTTGATAAGTTTGTGTGTGTTCACATGATCACTGTACTTAATAACAGTAACTAATAATACTAATAACTAATAAAAACACACAGTAATCACCACTGTAGAGGTGTTTCTCTCTGTAGTCTGTTAACAAACTGTGTCCTGTGTTCTGTTTATAAGATCAGGATCCATTTCTACCGGAGGAATGCGATCGTCTTCTTTATGAATTATTTGCGTCTGTACGTTTGGAAATTCAGATTGTGACATCGATATTAAATAACCCAGAATATCATTATTGTTTCTCTTGAACACTGGAATTGATTTATTCGTGCGTCCTGGCTCATGGCTCCTCAGCAAAGTACCCAAAAGCCATACTTGAGTAAAAGTAAAGATACCTTACTGGAAAATGACTCCAGTAAAAGTCACCTATTAGAATACTACTTGAGTAAAAGTCTTAAAGTATCTGATATTTATTGTACTGAAGCATCAAAAGTAATTTTCTGATATTAAATGTACTTAACTACTGAAAGTAAAAGTACAAGTAAATGCTGTTAATAAAAAAGCAAAGGCTCAGAATTATGAAGTTTATTCTTTTAAGTGCTGTGGCCACCATGCCCAAGGACATGGAGCTGTGTTGAAAATAATTGGGTTGGCTGTGATCCATCCAGGAGCAACAATGTTCAACATAATATATTGTACATAAGTATACTTTTGCATCTACTATGAACTTATCATCATAATTCTCCGAAAAGCAATATGACACTATGAAGGAGTTGTAACAGTGCGTTTATAAGTATGCTCATTCCGACTAGATGATGTAGAGGGCAAATGCATAATATTGTGTTCAGCAAAAAATATCCACTTGATGCATCAGGTCAGTGTTGTGAGGAAGGACACCTGCCTTGTGAACTCCTATGGGCCTGATTTGAACACAATAGGCAAAGGTTTTGCTCAAGCTGCAATTGGGCGACTGCTACCATCATAACTCCATCTGACCATCCACAAAATGACTCAAATATCAAAACATGATCAATACTAAAGCAGCACCGAAAGTAACAACCCAATCATTCCTTGAAACTGAAAAATGTCCTGTTCATCTTCAAAAGAAGTTGGTTTTCAAAATTGCGAGAATTCAGTCTCGCTCTTCTTGGGCTGAAGACTAGTCCTGCGATGCTAAATAGCCTTTCACAGGCCGCTGAGGCAGGTAGAGGTGTGTTCAGCTTCACAGACAACTTGCACACAGCTGGGAAGGATTCCCCTAATGCTAACACTAATACTAACCCTAATGCTGCGCTCTCGCGGCTCCAAACAACTGTCAACACTTCCTCAGCTCACTAACTCGCTAGCGATCCACGGGTGTTGGTCTTCGTCACCACCGTCGTTTGTTGCGGGAGTAGCAGGTGCTTCCATTTCTGCTTCCATCATGAAATCAGTCATCGTAGAGTGGAATTATATTAATGTAGTCGCTCGCTAGCTATAGCATATAGCATCCTGGGCATCACTGGGAATCAAAACGCCGCGGCTTTGAGAGCACTTGTTTGCAATTGCGCATTAACGTGATTAACCAACGATTTAACTTGCAAGCTAGGACCACTGATTCGCCAAACCTGCTTGCTTGCAGTCTGTGTTCCACCACAGTCCCCGACGTTGGTCTCATGATTCATTTTGTTTCTAAAGATAGATTTGATTTTGTAGCGAGTAACAAAGGTTTCAGGGGAAATGTATCGGAGTAAAAGTATCAGTTTTCTTTGCAAAATGTAGTGAAGTAAAAGTAAAAGTCAACAGAAATATAAATAGTAAAGTAAAGTACAGATATCCAAAAAAACGACTTAAGTACAGTAACGAAGTATTTCTACTTTGTTACTGTACACCACTGCTCCTCAGAGATCCCTCCTCGCTCAGAGCAGAAATAAGAGCTTTGGGACGGCCGTCAATATGGCGGCGCAGAACAACGTCCGGTTCAATCGAGGAGCGAGGAAACGACAATTAAGACACTTGGGATGTACCCTATCACAGACATCTCCACTGCAAACTTCCTGCTCACCACAACAGCTATAGGCTGTCACAATGAATGCTGAATGTTGCGCAGCAGCAGTCTCCTGTTGAGTAATGAGGCAAGGTGAAAGAGAGGTTCTCTGGATGTATCTGCACTTCTATAAGTAGAGACACTGTACACTCTCCATATCACAAAGTAAAGGAAAGTATCTGAACACTGTTACTGTTGGGATATGATCACAGCCTGATCATGTACAATACATCCGTCCTCTGTTATGTTTGTTATTCTCTATCCTCTGAACAGTTTTTATATATCTGGGATAAAATGCTCAAATTTCTTCTCTAAATCTTTCCTGCGGAAAAGGTTTAGATTTTGTAAGAATTCCCGGGAAATAAGGTGATATAAATGTCAGTTGTTTCATAACAGACTTGTATGCTCAGAATAATCAAAAGGCAGAGAAAATCCTCCACAACTTTTTTTGTTTCTTCCGTCTTTAAAGGGCCAGTTTAGGACTCTGATTTAGGCTGGAATGAGATTTACATGGTACCAGTTACAGTAGGCATTTGGTGCTGACGGTTAGTTTGGAAGGTTGGTTGTTAGGAAATGAAAGCAGTCACTAAAGGTCTTCATGTATAGTAAAGTGTGTGTGTGTGTGTTTGTTTGTGTGTGTGTGTGTGTGTGTGTGTGTGTGTGTGTAGGACCATTCTGGATCTGTGTTACACTGGTGTTCTCAGTAGTGATCAGTGGGAACTTGTCCACCTTCCTCAGTGAGATGGGAAACCCCTCCTACCACTACAGACCACAGTTCCACAGAGGTCAGTCATCCACAGGGTCTTTAACTCACCTGAATAGTCTGTCTTAGTTTTACTGAGTCATGCTGAGTCTGCTTTATTTGTCCTGCTTTTCGCGAACAGTGACCATAGCAGCAGTTGTGATCTTCATGTACGCCTGGCTGGTGCCGATTGGTTTATGGGGTTTTCTGACCTGGCGGCAAGGGGCTGAGAGGCAGGTCGGGGGCTATTCCTTTCTGGAGACGGTGTGTGTCTACGGCTACTCTCTCTTCATCTATATCCCCACCTCGGTGAGTCCTTTACTCTCTCCTGAGTTTGACTGATGGATGTCAGGGTCACAATAAGCTGTCTTTACACAGACACATATCCCAGGATAGAGCACCATGTCAATTGGCATTAAACTTCAGTGTAAAGATGACACAAGGGTAAAAAACTAATTCTAAATTACCCCAACAACTTGCTATCTCTCAGCCTGGTAAAAAGCATATTCAGAAGAGTAAACAGAGAAGTGCAGGCGCAAATATCATTATTATATATATTAATGTATTTTGTGATCCAGCAAAGCCTCTCTTTGCTGCAACAGTCGTCCTCAGTGATTGAAAGAACAGAAACATTATTTATAACATCAGTCTGCCCTTTTCTTTCTGTCCCTACTTCTTCATCTTCGTCCAGAGGATGAAGCCCTTGAAGTGCTCAAAGAAGTTTAAATTTGAACATCTACAATTCCATGACGACTGGGGAAAAAACTCCACCTGTTGAAATAGATTGTGTCATATGATTGACAGCCCCATGCAGTTACTAAGGTGCCTTGGTCCAGACCTTTGTATTCAACCACTTCACCAAGTGGACTGATTAGTCTGGCATCGGATAATGAAACAGCAGTTTCTCCATTAAATATAATAAAGCCCGACAACTCCACTTAAAATTACATTAGATTTGGGCTGATACGTTTGCCTCTAGTGATTGGTTAGGTACAATCGAACCCCAACCCCCCTTGTGGCAGTCGATTAGAGTGGAGGCACTGAAGATGAAAACAGTGTAACGAGTTGATATCTCCCTGATATCAGGCAAGTTGCTAAGTGGAACTTATAGTAATGTATCGTAATGCCTCCACAAAAATTGAACCGCAAGAACAATTAACAAAACTATTTTGCCTGATTTTAGTGCAGAGGTTTCATTTAGTTTCACATTGTCTTAGGCCAGTCGTGCCAGAGGAGCACAACATGGATCTATATCCAATATTCGGTTGTTCAATATCTGGCCCATCTATCAGATCCATGGTACCAAGGGATCTTACACAGGCTATACATTGGGCTAGACATCTATTATACAGACCTAACACTTCACTATCTTTAGGTGAATTTAATAGTACAGTTGTTTGAATTCATGTCAAAATCACATATACTCATCCTGGAGTTGGTCCATTCCTTGCGGACTCTTGGAAGCTGACTGGTACCCCTCTTTTCAGGCAGACATGGTCCAGTTGTTTAGTCTGCAAGAGAGTTTGATTAGCAGGTTTCACATCAGCCTAAATAAACCCAATTTGATTGAAATGAACCAAACATGTTCGGTCTGAAAGCACACTGATACATCACTGACCAACATGTAACTCTGTCATTTCCAGGTTCTGTGGATCATTCCATTTGAGTGGCTGCGCTGGACACTGATCCTGTTTGCCATGGTGATCTCTGGCTCCGTCCTGGTCCTCACCTTCTGGCCTGTTGTCCGTGATGACACCAAGGTGATGTCAGTGGCTACAGTTGTGACCATAGTGGTTTTGCACACACTGCTAGCTATCGGCTGTAAGGTAAGTACGCTACAAGGATGAGGCCTATCAGTTGTACACATTTAACCTTAAGGGAATAGTACATTTTTTCATTTTTTTTCAGATGTACTTCTTCCAGATAGCAGTCCATGTACCAACAACGGCCCCTACATCCCCCCCGCTTCACATAACAGTGGCCACCAGACCCCACTGACCAATAGGAGGGAGTGCTTGCAGGAGGGAGAGGTGAAATTAAGGATGTCTCTGTTGTGTTTGGAATCACATGCAGATATAATGCCATGTATACAGAGGCAATGTTGATTATTGCCAATGTGTGATGTGTTCAATGCTCGCGGGATGAACTGAAGGGATGGGTGTGTGGTTGTTTGTCTAATTTATCCTGAGGTGGCTCTACTGGGACTGAAGTAGCACTTGTTCACTGCAATAATTGCACATTTTTACTGTGATGTGGTGCAAGTTTAGAAGAAGACATTAAAAATGATTCATTGGTATAAGGGAAAAAGTGTAAAACTTCTAAACCAAATACAATCATTAAACCATGCTGCAACCATTTATTCAGTCAGTTGTTTTGCTCTTTGTGTTCTGATTGATATTAATTCATGCTATATTGTCCGGCCATGCAGGCTGGGCATGCATGACACAATATTACAAACATGTGTTAATGTTACACATGTCATAACAGGTGATCATAATAAACATATCTCATACTAATTACGTGCCAGCAACTAGGTGGCGACCCCGTGATGTCAGCTCGGAATAGCCAAATGAACGTGGGCTATAATGTCATGATTAAACAATCTGATTTATGCAGAGACGGAACGTCCGGTGAGGCTCCATAGAACGTGTTCACTCACTCCACTGTGTGAACCACTCACTTTCTCCTGGAAGAAAAGCACTTTACTCAAAGCTAGTTAGCGAGCTTAACCGTCGGTGAACGATAAGGTAACCACATCTAACAGCTAGCTGATGTTGGGAACGTAGAGGAGCGTGTTTGGGTTATCAGCATCTAAGAAACTAAATTCTTCACATCAATAGAATTATTAATGTCAGTAACAATTATTAATGATTATTAATAATAACGGGGCACCACCCTGCGAACAGGGACCAATAACCAAACAATAAAACTAAGTCTCATAATTAGTGTTCACTCATAATGTCAATAGTCTGAGTACTATTACACCCGCGACAAGATAGCTGAGAGGTGGCTACGTGTAACCACGTGGGACGGCGCACAATGTGGGTTGGGACAACAGATTACGCGACCACGTGTCTGAGAGGTTCACCCAAAATCAGTGAATCTAACTATGTGTGTGGGGGTTAGTAGGAAGAGAGGGAGAGAGAGAGAGAGAGAGCTCTGTGCGCGGTGCTCGGCGCTGCAGTGAGAATGTGAGGAACAGCTGATCACTCGTAAACTCTGCGGTCGGATTCTGAACCGACCGGTCACGCTTGTGCGGTGATAGTTGCGGTTCTCAATCTCACTCACAGAGCTGATTTAAAGAAGAGAGAATAAAACCAAACAAAATAAAATAATCCCCAAAACAAAACAGATCTTTATCACTGCGGTGAGATGCGAGTATTGCTCTTGTATCACCCCGAAACTCGGTCGGCGATACGAGGCTCCGCCACTGTGGTTTTGGTCTTTGAAGTGATAAAATCACAACCTCCACATCCACTAGCAGCGACGGATCTAATGTAAAGCAGGAAATACACAATATAACGGGACTCCGTGGTCCGCGATGCTGGCGCAATAACACGTTATAACACGACAGTAACTTAACGTAACAAGATACAGGAATAACAACAACATAACGAATAGGCTAAATTAAGCTAATGCTAAGCTAAGCTAGGCCCAGATACCAGTAACTCTTACTTGTAGAAGCTTCGTTCGGTAGGGTCTGGTTCCAGTGGTAGGAATCACTCTGTCCTCGATGAGTCGCTGACTCTCGGTGGGGCGGCCTTGGGGCTGGCTGGCGCAGACTCGGCCTCGCTGCAGAGAGGGGCTTTTTAACTTCGGCTGAGGGACGAGGTTTGGGTCGTCCTTCCCGGAAATCTTCGGCGAGGAAAGATTGTTAATCATCCTTCTGCCGGCGGTGTGTACACAAAAAGGGGGAACGGGGCATAGAAGTTATCCGTTCTCGCACTACAGGATCCAAAACTCAAAATAAAACACAGTCTGTTCGACCAGCGAATGTTGCATGTGACCTGATAGGATTTGATGAGGCCGCGGCTCCTCGTGAATCTTCTTGTTGCCAGGACGAGGTCCGGAGGGAAGAGGCCTTGTGGACCTCCTCACATCAGCATGTCTGGACGGAAGAGCCTTGTGGATCTGCTTGTCCCCTGGACGAGTCCGGAGTGAAGAGAGCCTTGTGGATCTCCTTACACCGGCGGTGTCTGGACGGAAGAGGAAGAATTCTAGCTGTGCTCAGGCTTATAAACCAGGTGGCACAACCAGTGGGGGGCCCTTTCTTGGCCAATGAGGGGCCAGCATCAGGTTTCTGCTGGAGCTGGGGGGTGTGGTCATCCGGCATGAGGTTTCTTGCAGACCCCAGGTCAGGCGTTTTGGTGAAAGGAAGGAACATGGCTGCTCCTTTTGTTTGAAAAACACGTGTGAAGGTCTCAGCCAGCCAGGAGAGCAGGGTCAGATCCCAACACTGATTAGCTCAGTTTAACACAGTACAAGTTAAACACTCAGGATTTTATTATCTCCCTAAACTTTACGGAAACATATTTCCTCTGGTCTGTTCATTGTCAAATTATTCACCTCAAAGAATTGTTGAAGAAAGTGAAGCAACTCAGATTTTGAAGTATTATCAGCACAATAACTCAAAATAAGAACTTATCATGCAGATTGGCTCATTTCAAAGTTTTATATCATATTTATATTATTACGGGATTATTAATACTGATTCATCAACATGTACAGTGTAGCATGCTCTGCAGGTGAAAGAAATGATCAACTTTATATATTGTTGGGTAACTTAGTTCACTCTTTAAAAATGTATCATGATTTATAAAAGTATCATGGAAAGTAGGTTGTGTTGTCACGGGGTGTGGTGGACGACTCAAATGCAGGCCAGACAGAGTAGCGTGAAGCAGGTATTTAATGAAATTAAATCAACACAGGAAACTTACAGGACACAACGGAGTATTCACGGACAAGACAAGAGACGAGGGGGGAAATCCGAGAGCGAGATCCTTCTTGTGGCACTGGCACCTCTGTGGCACTCAGCGGCACTTTTGTGGCACTCAGCGGCAGTCAGGTGCCACAGCAGGCGAGCGACACTAGTTCGGCACCCGTCAAGAAGCTGCCGAGCTCGGATGATTCCCGGCTCCACTAGTCCATGTCGATGTGTCCTCGGGTAAGACACTTAACCCCAAATTGCTCCTAGCTGTGCCGACGGTGTCTGAATGTTTAACATTGCCCATCAACTAACTAACATTGGGCAGGTGGTACCTTGCATGGTAGCCCCTGTCAGCAGTGTATGAATGGGTGAATGATGACATGTGTCATATAATGTACAGACTTTAATAAAATAAATAATACATTTAATAAAATATTATTTGTGATATTTGGCTAAAATTAAATTGTGACCTCACTTCCAAATTTAGAAGATGTGCAATTTTTTACTCATTTTCAAACAGACATTACTAAACAAAGTATATACTATAAAACTTTTACTTTTAATACTTTAAGAGTTTCCTGAAAGCTTCCCTGATTATTCTTTCTTTTACTTACGTAATATATCCAATGCAGGACTCTGTCTATACACTGATAATGGAACAAGCTGACGTTTTGGTGCACGTGTTCATTCAATGCGACAATAACACAGACAAGACACAGCATCGGCTGTGAACAACGACCTCACACGTCCCAGTGAGCATTTACATGAACACAAGTAGAGCAATGAGATTATTAATACCCCTAAACTGACATAGTTCATTATACAAGGTGAACAGTGGAACATGAATTATACTTCGTGCATGGACCTTAATGCAGTGAATTATTATAATTGTATTGTAAAGAACATTGTTATATTTATGTTATAGTTTTGTAGCTGAGCATAAAGAAACAGATGTTTCTGAAGCTGCTGAATGTGATCACAGGCGATGCTCTCGCGTCCTCCAGCGGCTCGTCTCGGCTCGTGCGCTGTTTTTAGTCTTTCCGCACAAAGCGGAAGTGTCCATTCTGTTCCGGACACGTGGTGCATAGTGGGCGTGCCCAGGACGCTGATGTAAACACCGAATACGCCCCCCCCCCTCTGATAAATCACAGTGGAGCGAATTTGCGAGTTAACCCATTGAACCTCCGTCGGTTGGGCAAAGCGCTCCGTGTCCATCGTGTGTAATATGCATTAAGGCGAGGACGGGCAGCGCCATGGAATTCTACATCAACCTGAAGGTGAATTTCAGAGGAAATTCCAAAAATTTCCTCCTGTCAGGATCTGAGACCAAGAGCTGGGAGTCGATGGAGGCCATGGTAAGAGAGGGGCGAGCCGCCGGGCCCGTGCTCACACACACCGACCGTGTAACCTATTCTCAGACACGTAACAGCTTGTGATTGTGATGGAGGACATGGCTGGGCTACAGGAGTGCTGTGTTACAATGAGCCACCAGCTCCGTGTATGCTATGCTACAGGTTCGATGCTATTAACATACTACACTGTCAGCTGAGACAGTAGAGCTGTGAAACGCTTCCATCACACAGAGCAGAGTTACAGTAGAAGACAGGGAGAATACACACACCGTAGGGTTCTTACAGTGGTTTGTGGCCATCAAACACTGTTTACCAGCTCAACATAACTGTTTGAGTCACACATCATCCACCGCTATACATCACACATCCACCGCTATGCGTCACACATCATCCACCGCTATACGTCACACATCATCCACCGCTATGCGTCACACATCATCCACCGCTATGCGTCACACATCATCCACCGCTATGCGTCACACATCATCCACCGCTATGCGTCACACATCATCCAACGCTATACGTCACACATCATCCACCGCTATACGTCACACATCATCCACGGCTATACATGCTCTCCTCTGGCCTGTTGGCTGTGTTATTGTGAGGGGGTCAGCATCATTGCATAGAGCTTTGTTACATATTGAACAATCGGAGACATTATGATATAATAGTTGTAGATAATCCTAATCCCATAATGCATTGCTCTATTTCCAATGGGCTTTCATTAGAGGCCTTTATTTCATATAGTTGTTTTCCGACCTTTTGTAGTTTGCTGCCATCTGAATGCAGGCTCTGTTAGGTCTGGACGCAAGACAACAAGCAAACAACTGTTAAAGTGGAGTTTGGATCAATTAGTGCTAAACTAACATTGTACCTGCTCCATCAACGCTTAAAATAGCATCATCTAGGCATAAATAGTGTCATGACATTATGGATTATACGCATACATTTAGAGAGACAGCGAGATCCTTCTTGTGGCACTGGCACTCTGTGGCACTTCAGCGGCAAGCGTCAGCTGTGGCAGGCGAGCGGTACTAGTTAGGCACCCATCAAGAGGCTGCGGAGCTGAGGGGGCGGAGCCACATTTCCTGAGAACACACATTGTTGTTACAACAGGTCAGCTTCCGTAAATCAGTTTTATGATTTTAGTTGAGTCACCGGAGCCACCTGTTCTCTGTCTGCATCCTTAGAGTAATTACGTTGTACTTTTTTGTTTCTCATTCATTTTATTTAAGTATGATTTTGCTGGTTTTGCAACAAAAGGGAACATAATACACTCTTTCCAAATTATTACTTTTATAGTCATTCACAACAATCGGCTAAAATAATGAAAATAAATCATCCGTTTTATTATCATTTAAAAGTATATATATAAAAAACTTAAATTTAAGGGTGCCAGAGAGTGTCGCAGGGTGCCAGAGAGTGCCGCAGGGTGCCAGAGGGTGCCGCCAGCAGTCAGAGGGATTATAAATTTTTTGAATATTCTAGAGTCAAACTTTCTATATCTCAATGGCAATAAAACTGAAGTAATTCAGTGTGGCTTTGTGGCACAAAGGCAGTAAAACTGCCTGTGCCAAAGCACACTGATTGTAATCCATCGGGCTTAATAATAATAATAATAATAATAATAATAATAACTAGAAAATTCATAAAGAAATTTGACAGTGTGGCTTCTACTGCCCGAAGAAATCGCAATATATATATACACACGCCAATGTTACCGGTACACAGTAAAATCGACAGTGTCAATGAAACACTTAAAGAGTCAATTTTAACACTGATTCGGTGAACATATGGTCCCTATCTACAGAGTGTTAAAGCTACACTGGACATAGTGTTACATTTTTAGAGTCAATTTAACTCTGGTTAGAGTTAATATTTTACACTACGCTACACTGAGAAGTGTTACTCAAATTTGACACTATGATGTAAATAACACTCATAGTGTTATTTAAATTTGACACTAGGTCTTTTTGAGTGTTAATCAAAATTAACTCTAATTAAGTTACTCTTCATGAGTGTTGGACCTACTTGACACTAAGTGTTGATTAAGAAATTACTCCAAATACAGTATTGATGTTTAACTGACTCCTGCAGTGTTAAAACATATTTACTCTCTTAGTGTAATTCTTACCCAACACCTTATTTTCAATTTACTCCTTTTTAACTGTTCAACAGAACACTTTTAAGAGTTTTGCATTTTCTACTTTACCATGTCAGCTAACACTTCAAACAATAAAACTAAAAATGTTTGCAGGGGAAAAAACAACAAACACCATTATATCCATATCTTAATAATTTATTAAAAATAAAAACATTTAGTTTACATACAATTTTTCATTATCAGTTTAGAGATGCAAGTGTAACTCCCATTTGTGCTACATTGTACAACAATTAAACCTCACTTTCAGTTTCAAAGATGGGAAAAAAGACATGGTATATTTAGAATAGTACAATCTTAACAATGTCTGTAAACACTGAAAACTGTGTGTTTACAGTGCATTTAGAGGATACACACATCCAAGTACAATTCAAGTCCTTTTCACCTAAGAACAAACTTCGCTATCATCTGTAATCTACCAAGCAATTCAAACTAAGATCTGGTTGGCCACTGAAAGAGTTGGGATGTTATTTTGGCTTTAAATATTCTGATTATCTGCTTCCTCCAGACATTGTACTGCTGCTGGGAAAACTGAGAAAAACTAAATTCATAGGGTTGTCATTTTTTATTTGAAATACTAATTCTGTAACTATATGTTATATCAAATTTGACTACAGTTAGATTTAATATTGGATTTTTGATTTGCCACAGATAGTCTTCTATACCAGCAGGTGTTTGAATTACATTTTTAAAGGAGAGATTCACAGATTTCTACCTTTTTTATTTCAATTTATCTGCTCATGGTGTAAATCTAACTGCACTCAAATTTGGTATTCCCCTCTTAAACTCCACGCCCCCAAGGGGGCTCTCTGGCTCAGAACCCCTGAAAATATTGTTCGGAAAATAGCCTTATTGTTCGCCAGTATTGTGGATTGGTCCAGTTTTTTTCCGGATTAAACAGCAACGTATGGGCAACACTATCATATAAGTCACTTCTTACACACTCCAAACACAACTATAGACTACTTTTATAAGCATCTAGAAAACGTGGCATAAAAGCATGAAATCCTGGCCAGAAATCGCCGTTATGTGTACAGCAAATCAATATATGCACCCTGATGCTAGCGGCTACCAAGCCATGCAATACATTTTATAGCATTAGCACACGTAGCCAAACGCGTAAATAACTTCGGTTTTTCTCTCCGTGGGAGCACTACGAAGCTGTGAGTGGTCAAACGTACCATCATACTGCCCTCCGCCGAAAAGAATCGTGGGTTGTTGGCCAAGTTTTATGAAAAATTAGTACAATAACGTCGCAGATTATCGGTTTCAAAGCTGGAGTCATTGTTGCTAACTGCATCCTGTTTACGTCCGAGCTGTTTCCAGAATAAGAGCGGTCAATCCAGCATGGGCGAGCGGTCAGACTTCCAGCGATCAGAAAGGCACTTCTTGCAACTTTACTGGTTGAAACTTCTGTCAATCAACACCAAATTCGACACACGCCTTCCTGAGACTGACTCGTCGAAGGAGGGCTTATTGACTGAAATCGACCGATGATAGGCTGACCTACAGTCCCATACACACACATGAACTGAGAAAATCCTATAGATGACAGCCAGAAACAGGCTCTGATGATAGGAATCTCAAAATGATTCCTAACAGCTGTATTTGGATGTATTGAATAATATGAGTGATTAAAAAAAGTGAAATATATAGCATATAAAAGTACAATGTAAGAGCTGCAACAGCTGGTTCGAAAATGATGACCTCGCTTGACCGCTCTTTACTAAAGCCTCTTATTCTTCACTTTATCCCACTTTAACCTTTATTCAACAACGACTGATCAGTTGTGCTATGATTTGGGAGAGTTTTTAGGGAGATATCTGCATTATTTCAACAACCTTATATCAATAAAAGTGCTTTTTTTTCAGGCGAACCTGATTATTTTCAATTTGAGCTGTGTAATGTCTTCATTACTATATTAACCAGCAACATATACACAATATTACCCATCTGAACAATCTCACAAGTGTTGTGATCTGATTATATCAACAAAAATTATTAAAATAGACCTTGTAGTTACAGAACTATGGTCACTTTAGTGTGGGTATGCCATTTTCGAGCAGAGGCCTACAAATAGGGCTGGAGCTTAAGAGGTTAAAACATATAGTTACAGATACAATATTTTAAAGTGACAGCCCTCATGACTCTATTGTAAAGGTCTTGTTTGGAATTTATTAGTATCTTGGCAGATGATAGAAAGTTGTCTCTAAGTTAAATAACAATAACTCTATTTTAACCACAGTAAATGCAGAAAATACAAGTGACTCGAGTCTTGCTGGCAGAAATTGTAACAGACACAGTTCTGAGTTGAGTACAGCCCTAAAATAAATATATATATCTTTCCCACAAGTGAAGAAGAACAGATGTGCTTGAAGAAGAGATATCTAAATTACCCCAGAGGTTCAGTCACCTTTCGTCCAGTTGTGTTCCTTGGCATTATGGTCTCCACCAGGTTTCTTGGCCAACGCAGATTTTTCCAACTGTGAAACGACGATTTTTATTTTAATCACATGATGGCATCTGTAAAAACAGCAAAAGTGAAATGACATTATGACCTACAACACAATTCATTCTGAGAAAACACTGAAGTTAAATTTAACACTAACTAGCTTTTGTCAAACACACATTAAAAATGACTGAATATAAATGTAGACAGCAATATAACGCTCACGTTACTTTGAAAAGTGCTTATTCAGTTTAACAGACAAAAAATAAATTAAATTAAACTAATTGGCTTTAAAGTGAATCCTTGTAGGAGGGCCCATGCACTCAAAGGGAAGGTTTGTCCCAGATAATATCACAACTCCCCACACACGCAGTATTTGCTATTTTACTGTCATCTATGGACATTGAAAACAATACAACACTGTCAGTCCTCCACATTGACCTCTCTTGCCCACATTGTGGAGTTTGATGTTAGCTAATTAGCCTAGCTAACTTAATGTACGAGCACATTTGAGCTAACGTTAGCTTTCAACTCGGTCAGGTTAGCCCTCTGCTATTCGGTATTTCAAGACACAAAAACAACGAGTGTATGTTCAACAACAATATTAAGTTATTTGAATTATTATTTTCTGCTGAAATGCCAAAATTTGGTTTCATACGTGATTTAGAGAAACTTACCACAGTCTGTCGAGAAGTGCATAATGGCGGCACGGTGAAACTCCTGATCCGTTTGAAAGGAGAAGGAGGGGGGCGGAGCTTACCAGAGTACAGAGTTCTTTCCAGAGAACACCGTCTTGTCGCAGTGAACAATGACATCAACACTGGGGGACGTTTTACTCTTGCTGTTGTTGTAATATCTCTGAAAGAGTCAATGCACTTTGACACTGTATATTATACACTGAAAAGTTTAACTCTGATTATTTTCACCAACACTGGCCGATAAATTGGTAGTAATTACTCTTGCCGTTGTTGTAATAACTCTGAAAGAGTCCATATACTTTGACAATGCATATTTGACACTGGGGAATTTAGTGTCATTCAGGTTCAATTGAGATAGCGCTACTCTCTTTTCTGCATTTTAGATTCATACTCTTGGATTGAATCTTGTATTTGTGGGGCTTTTATTTTGAAAGGGTGGGACTGGGTGGGTGAGAGAGGGGGAGAGGAGACAGAATCATAATGTTTGACACTAAAATGAGAGGCTTCATCACAAGCATTCCAGTTAGAATTCATTCTGTGGGGCTTTTAATTTGAAATGGGGGGGGGGGGGGAAAATCCTCTAAAAAATATCTAAGACCTGAATGACTGTATGATGGAGAGAGACACAGAGAGGGAGAGACAGACAGACAGTTAGATGGACTGAGTGAGTGAGTGAGACAGGCAGACAGGAGGTCTAATGATCTTTCCTTGAATATCGTGTGTGGATGTGTAGAGAGAGAGACTCTGATCTCTCTGGCAATCTTTCTCATTTGGAGATTGTCCTGTTTTATCTTTTACAGCTTACATAACTATTGTCCTGCTCTGCCAT